ACACACAGACAACCTCTCGTTAATATGCGTTTTTCGCATTGCATTGCTGCAAAAAACGCATAAAAATCCGGAAACGGGCAAAAAGAGGGAGGACCGGAGAAAGAAAATCCACGAAACTGTGAGAAAGTTGAAGGCCAGATGGAGACCCCCACTGAAATGAGGATGAGCTGGCACCCCTTACCGGATGAGGAAACATGGAAACAACAGTTAAAGAGCGAAAGTGTGAACAGGGCAAGAAAGACCTTATGCTGTCCAGGCCAAAGCGAATCCGAGACAGCAGTCATCAGTGATGGCAGTAAGACAAACGATAATCCTACAACCAGAAAGAGGGGAAAATCCGGAAACAACAAAAAACGCAAGAAAAGAGAACCGGAGCACGAAAAAACGAGGAGTGGGCACAGCTGACCCATTTATATATGCACTGGGCAGGCATGCGCCAGAAGCTTCTAGCGCTTTGCCTCACATTGTCAGTGGCAGGCAGAGAACATCCAGGAACGTTCCTGACTGTGCTCAACGTGCTCACAGATCATTCCTGAATGGTCCGGAAAGAGCCGGCCGATTAATATTAATTTGTGACAAGATCATTTAATCACAAATCATATCAATCTGTTCTCCTGTATGTATATGTGTATGTGTGTGTGTGTGTGTGTGTGTGTGTGTGCGTCTGTGCGTACGTTTGGGTCTGTCCACCTATTTGTCCGTATGTGTGTTAAACAGAGAATTGAACAGGGAACAGAGAACTAAACCAAATATGTTTTTAAATGCGTTTTCGGAACCACCCGAATATTCGGCATGAGAATCCAATAACAATGAATCCACTGAGTAAAATTGATCCTTGTAATTACGGCCAAAAATGGCTAATAATGAATAAACTGTGGGCGCGTACATTAGTAAGCTACTGGTACGCTATCACCCGTTTTGTATAATCGAGACTTGCGCAACTTTGAAGGAGATCTCCTTCAAACACTGACTCAGAGCAATAAAATTTACATTCGCTGTCAAAGGCCAGTATCCTACGTTGTTCACGTGTGTTAACTCAGTATGATATGATTTTTGCATTGTATTTTATACGCGTTTTTTGCAGCTATGCAATGCATAAAACGCATATTGACGAGGGGTTGTCTGTGTGTGTGTCTGTGTGCCCGTGTGTGCATCTTTCACGCTTTTGCATCTCATGTTCTGCAAAAGCTACAAGGCTGAAACTTTGGTAACTTAATCTACATGCACATTCGGGCCCCAGTCCCCAAAATGGACGCCATTACTCGCGTGGTACCCACGTAAGATCCCGCCAAAGTTTTTTACGGGTAAGCTGCTAACTCGGGAATCAGAAGTGCTTGGGGGCTGAAATTTTAAGGAGATGTCTCCCGACCAAGTATATATTAATGAGCTCAAACCCAGCCCCTGGGTAAGCGTGGTACCCGCGTACGAGCCCGCCGAAATTCTTTTCAGCTAAGTTCATAGCTCAGAGGTTGCTAACTCGGGAACGTGAGAAGCTAGAAAACTGGAATTGAAGGGATGTTTCCTGACAGTCTTGGCGGGCAGTCTGAAATTCTTTTAGCTAAAAGCATCTGCCGGAAAAACCAGTGCCGTTGGCGACAAAAACCTTTGGGGGAGCTATGCAAAAAACGTATTTTCGTGTGGAAGTTACGCCGACCAGCAGTCCTTGGCGCAATCTTCGGCTGTAGATTATGGCGCATATTTGACTTCCTGTCAACTACCAAGTCCACAATGCCTATCCGGAATCTTGCCGCGGATACACCGGCACTTTGCATCTCATCCGTTTTCGATGTGCTGATTTTCAAAACCACTTCCTTACTTCGTACACTGAGTTCCTGCAGCATCTCGGTTATTTAGCGAAGTCTACGTTCTTGTCACAAGCTACTGCTAGCGCAAGTGAACGCATTCATCGCATCAGTAAAGAAGCGATTGCATTTTGTCGCGGTTATTTTCACATAACTCTACATGATAGCGCTGTAGCATTACGAAGTTAGCAAAACCTTCAAGTGGGAAATGAGATTCCTGAAAACTAAATTTGCATCCTAACTTTAATCAATAGTTTGCTCGTACTCCTTAACTTATACTCCCAAACTTTTAGTTTTTTGCCTTTCGTATTTCTCGACATGTATAGGGGCATGGTTCTGTTGCCACAATGCTTTCTTTCAATGTATGAGAACGAGAAAAAACTAAAACCGCCGACATCACAGTCTTCAATCAGCTAATTAGTAATGTGCAACTAAACAACGAAAACAATCAGGTCCCTATTTCTAAAGCGCTCGCGTTCACTCATTACCAACAACGATCATTAATAATCTTTGGTGGAAATGCATTCGAAGAAAATTTTTAAGCACCGATACGTATAATGGCTGCAATACTGGTCAGCGGAACACAAAGCGGTGATGTGCATTTGGAGCAAAAGATTCAGCTGTCCGGTAACGATACAAAAGCCAAAAAGAGTGATTTCATCTTAATGCTACCGAAAATGAGTCATTTCTCGCCCGCGCCGGTATGTATTTTACCAAGAATGCCAAGCTCCCTCGTGCATTAGCCTAAATATGTTCCTATGCCATATTAGTAAAGCATCTGGATGCTTCCATATGTCGAGAGCAGCGATGCTAAACTTTTCGTTTCGGGAGAGTGTAGCTGCAGTTACTACTCCTTATTTCCTTGGTGTAGATGAACTACCTGTATCAAAATGAGGCATAACTTTTCAAAGTGTTTTTTGGTTAAAATTAATTAGTTTCCAGTTAGTTTTCTTTGGACTACTCGTAATTGTTTTTGCTTGTCATATATTATTTTATTCATTCCCAGTAATCTTTTTTTTATTAAAAAGGCCTCCCTAAAGATTCCCTAATCAATAGATACATCTGGAAGCGTAGACGTTACGCAACTTTACGAAAAATCTTAAAAAATGTAAGTGGGCGAAATTTTGATCAAGAAACGTCATGGGATCACATTTTTCCGTTCTCGAAAACTAGTTTCATACATTTATTAGCGCTTTTTTACAAAAGCTTCTGCCTTTTCAAATTTCTTTATAAGCACATTTTTCATTTTCAGGATGGAAAAGGACATCGCCGACCTGAATGCGATTTAACACTAACGGCTTGTGACGGTAACTTGCGTCTCATCAGAACGATTAAGCTTGCCGCCAAGGATAGAATTGGCCCGTTTGGCAAGACTTTTTATGAAGAAACACAAATCTACAGTTGCGGGGATTTCGATGATGGTTTGATTTATATCATCTTTTGTGAATCTAAATCACTCCCCAAATCCAGCAATCCTTCCAGACTTCAAAACCGATGTCACAGCGTACTGTGTTGACGAACCACAAATTTTTGGTCCAGCTCTTCTCAAAGTTTTCTCACCATCTTCACCACATACAACATTAAAACCGTTAAAGTTAAGCCTTCTGGACCAGCCTTGCATGGCTTCAGCTGTTAGCATTCATCACTTACTGGATGCAATGCAGCCAAAAGAAATTATTTATATGCATAACCATATTATTACCAGGGACGTACAGATAGCGCAAAGGCCCCAGGCTTGCGAGTACGTTTATTTTACAGAAGCTGTACAAATAATGTACATCGTACAAATACTATACTGATAATCTTAACAAGTTGTCAGCATGCTATACAGTGAAAACAGGACGCATATTTCTTTAGTATTTATGCTGAAAAAGTGTTCCACACTTCCTGCCTGTGCATTTTGCGTAAAATATTTGTACAGTTTAGCATTTTATATGTGAAACGTTTGTACAACTTTACATACTGAAAGTGTGCAGAATTTTATATAAAATGTATAATTAACTATCAAATTGCATGTGTTTTGTTCATGTGCAAAGTTCTGATGAAAGAATAACGGGGCAAAAATTTTCAGTAAGCAAACTGATTAGTAGCAAGGACAAGAGTTCGGCTGAAATCGGGGAAGAAAGCTTTACCAATCCGGCCTATGTTAAATGCTACGAGAAAATACTGTTAACCAAAAACGGGAGTTATAAAGTGATCGATTTCATCGAAGTGCGTTGCATCGGGAGCAGCAGAAAGGCATATAAGGTTTGCTTAAGCAAAATTGTAATTCAAGTCGTTGTTCTAAATAATGTGGGTAGCCAAAAACCAGTAACTCTCTCTTTCAAAAAATATACGTGAAATTCTTATGAATCTGGAAATAAACGAGAAAACTGCTAGAAAAAAGTTTGCTTGAACGGTATGACTTGTTCTTTCATAGCATTTGCAGATGCAAAACAATTTGGTTACGCAAATCAAAACCACCAGCTGGGTCACTTTCTATTAAAATCCCAGACAATTAAAGCAACCTAGGACTATCGCGAACTCAGTCCCTTTTTAAAAGTGAGTATGAACCGATAGAGAATTGAACCATTCGCTTTCACACCGGAGTGCTAGACATGCAACCCACTGCACCACCAGTCTTTATTCCCACATTCAGACTGTGGTGCACTTCTGCTGTGTGCCTATCTTTTGAGCAAAATACACCTTTTTTTTCTTCTCTGTCTTTTTTCACCTGTTTGTAAATTTGTGAGTACTTTTTTCCCGGCTTTTCGTAGGTCGCTCTTTGAATTATTTCGCTGCAATCACAAAATGTTTAGGAACTCATTTCAAGTACTCAGCGGAAAATGCATTCAACTGAATCAAATCCGTTTCACTACGAACAAGGGGCCTATTTCGGCGAAGGCTTGCTGATCATTGAAAGTATTTTGCAGTTACCAATGATTTCCTTCGCCGAGGTATCCTGTTATTGCCAATTTGAGTGTTTTAGTTAAACATCCAAAAAATCTCCAAGAGTGAATGTGATAGAATATTGAAGCAGCAACTGCTCAGTGTTTGATGTCTTACGTGGTAAAGTAACTGGAATTTGTGAAATTGATGGTTAATTTGGAAAATTTTGAAGAGTGGGAGAGAGTAACTCGAAATTTTTGAAAAATCTCATAGAAAATTATTCATTTCCTCCTTAGTTAATAAAAAATTTAATTGATGGACCTAATGAAGATCGTCATGAAATTAAGAAAATAACTGAAATGCTAAAAAGACATAGTTTTTTCATATGCTAGGTAACGAGTTGCGACAGTGGCGGATGAACAAGAGGGGAAAAAAGGGAAAATTTATCGTTCATTTCTTTTGCAGTCCTCCTTGCCTCACCGTGAAGTTACAACACTACTTTGTAGCAATAAAAATTTTCTTAAATAAACTATTGGACTGCCATGCGACTAATCAAAAGTAACAAAATTAACTCGACTCGTAAGCTTTAATGCCACCCACTGCATGGCTAACAGAATTTTCAGGACTTGGAGACCATTAACTTTAAAAGACCTTAATAACGGAGCCATGGGGCGCGTTACGGCACACTTTGCCAAAACATACCTTAGCTCTTCGATTAATCTGTGCGTATCTTGCCAAGCCATTTATCCGAATAGCTTCAAGCTTTTCACTTTTTTTTTTGAACAGCCACAAATCTCGTGGCTCAGAACCCTTGGTTCCAGTACCGGTTTCTTACTTTGGTCTTTATTTAACTGTTAACGGTTCTTACTGTCGAAATGTCAAATTTAAGAACTGCATTTTCTAGTACGCTTTCTGAGGTCAGTCCTTCTACTGATTCACCAAAATTTTCTAAAACGGCGCTCGTAGTCATATTCTAATTACATCACTGATTTGCATTTTCGACCATTATGACGCGTTGACAGACGGTTCCTTAGCTCATGAAATGAGCCCATCTTGCTTTGGTAATTCAAGCAACTACAAACCAAAAAACCTTCACTTTTCTATGCGCTTGATTAATCGATTGCAGGAAAAACAATTTATGTGGCATGACTCTCGAAGTTACAGCACTGATAATTACAAAGCTGGTACCAGCAGAAGTCCACTGCCACTTTGCAGGTTCGTACGCGAAAAAAGGAAGGCCGACCGCCTTACTTCAGCTCCGGATTTATAAAAACTTATTCTGTACTCTAATAATTCTTACAGGCTGTTAACGCAAGAAACGAACAAAACGTCAGGAGAAATGGCCGGACTTCGACCAGTTCTGAAAACTGCTAGCTATCGTGATAAGTCTCCACCTGGCACCGGTTTGCGTTTTAGCATCTGTCCTGCTTTTGATTCTTTCTTCAGGATGCTGTAATCCCTTCACTTCTGCACTAATCAACAAACGCATGAAATAAAAAAGGAGCTGTTGGAGTCCGCTGTTTTTAAATGCCTGAAAACAATTGAAACTGCAGTTATAACAGACTCAAAATTAAGAGAGATTAATTTTAATATATTGAAATCTAAAAATAATCGTAATTTAAGGCCCTACTAGGTACAGCTGTCGGGAGAGTCGTGGTATTCCGTTCACTAGACAAGCCGCCCTTGGGAATCGCTACCACCTGATTACTCATCATAGTTCATTACAAGTGTAAATATTGCCAGCAGTAAGGAATTAGCTATCAGTGGCAGCTAATCAAAATACCAAAGTAAAACAGCTTCCCTAAAACACCTTTCTAATTTTAGCATTTGTTCCGATCATTTTTTTCATTTCCTCCTAAAAATTTTCTAATTTTTATAGCAAGAAAGAGGTCTTTTCCTGGAATGGCTTGGCCCAGGTTATATACGACTCAATAGAAACAGAGTCAAACGCAATGGTACCTTAGTATATTTGAGTGGCGGGCTCGAAATCTTTTAATGAGGATCAGAAGAGTCACAATTTTTATGCAGCAAACTTGCAGCACTGAGCGACACGTCTGCTGGCGGTGGCAGCGAATCAGGAGGTGGTAAGTTTCCGCTGCGCAGCAGTTTCAGCGACGCAGTCGAAATTTTTTCTTCTATTTATGCGTTTTTGCCGTGCAGCGCTAGAGCGCTGCAACAGGCAGCAAAAACGCATATTGGAAC